CCCGGGCCTCCACACGGGGTACAACATTCCGTCCCCATATTTCCATCCACCAACGGCAAACTGGTTGACATTAGGCACATATACAGAGCAATAGGGATGGTGATCAAATAAGGGTAAAAAAAGGGAAAACTGGGAGAGAAAGTTTTATAAATGAAAGTCGCTTCTATCAACCCGTGGTCCTTCTTGTCTTAATCGCTACTGCTACACCCGCGACACCCACAGCTAACACACTGGATGCTCTGGTCCTCTTTTAGCTGGGCTTTGGGTACGCGACAAATGCAGGTGGCGTTGAAGTTTGTTTCTTTGGTTTGGATGCAGCGAAGGCAGCAGAGCTGGAAGCGTGGGTGGGTGGGTTAGCTTGTGCAGTTATATTTTGTGAGGAAGGGGAATTAGAGAAGGACGATGGGTGAAGGTGAAGTATGTATAGGATAGTACATACCTTTTCGTAACCCTGTTTCTTCCACTTGGCAATGAGGAGGGCGTCTGCGTAGTTATTTTTCAGCAGCCAGTCATACAACTGCTTGGATATGGCTTCCTTTTCGTAGTAGAGGTCGTAGATGTAGCGGGATCCTGAGATGAGATCATATTCATTAGCTTTTTGTTTCTTGCAATATTTTTTACAGTTCCTAACATTTGCTGCCCGTATACGCGTGTTCATATTTATGATAGTTGTTATACCGGGGTTAAAGAGGTAAAACATACGTGCATGACTGATCTGAAATATCGGCCAGTGGACCTCGTGTCTCTTCTTGCCCTCGTGCGAGGCATTTTCTGCATCTTTCATTTTGTTGCTGAACTCGAGAAGGGTGTCTTCGATGTCAGCAAAGCCGTCTGGAGGTGGTTTGCGGTTCCGTGAGGCGCGGATGGGAGGCATGGTGGGTGGCGGAGCTTCGTCGTTGGAGGCGGACGACTTCAGAAAGTTGATAAGCTTCTTTTTCTAATGGGAGCCTCCTGTTGCTGGTGAAATGAGCGGATACGGAGGAGGTTGATTGATCTGTGTTGCCAGTTATTTATTTCTTCCAAGCGTCAAGGCCGCCGGACGAGATGGGTAAAATGTTTGGGTCTTTCTGCCACTTCTCACCGTCTACGGCGCTTGTCGCTGCAACCTTCAGTAAAAAACAATCCAAGCAGCTTCTACAGTTTCAGATATTTTATCAACGGAGTAGACGACCACTATTATTTCCAGTCTTCCCAACCCAATCTAGTTTCCGAAATTTACTATAGTTGTTCCCTTAAGTCGATCTACCCATTGCGATTCTGGAAAGAAAAGAAATATCAATATACATACATGCAATGGATTCCCAAATCGACGTCTCTAAACTCAACGAAGCGGACCGAAGAGAAGTGCAGCAATTCGTCGCGAACGAGGCGCAAAAGGCTACTATCCAGTCAAGTAATACCTAATTTCCTTGCATCCATTTTTTCCCTCACTCCTTCATCCACACCGCATATATTTCCACGGCCAGATATAAACAGTAAACATATCCTAACTCCATTTATTTTGAACAGACGTCCACCAACTGGCTGATATGTGCTGGAAAAAATGCATCACAGGCAGAGTGTCCGGAGGTACCCTTGACCGTAGCGAGGAGTCATGTGCCCAGAACTGCGTTGATCGATGGATTGACACCAGCAATGCCGTGCTGAAGCATCTGGAGACGTTGAGGGGCAGCCATTAAGATAGGTCATTGTGTGTATGGACTTTGTTGGTCTATTGTGGTTTCCTCGGGTGGAATGCGTCCGGATTTTGATGGATGGACTATATATGCTGGATTGTACGACTGCGAGGGCGGAAGGCTGAGGAGGTGGGAGAAGAATGGAAGCTGGAGTAGGAAGGACAGCCCTTGGGGAATCGACGGGCGAAGGTATTTTTTTCGTTCTCCTTTTTTTTTTCTTTCTTTCTTATTTTCTTGCATTGTACGATGCTGAATATGCATATGGGATCCACCTGGTCTACTTTCTTAAACATGTTAAAAGGTTTAGCCGGTTATGGATAGTGTTTATATTTAAATGTCGATACAGATAAATACCAATTCATTGAATATTCCACTCTATTGATCCAAACGGGCGACAGACGAGTTCTACATGTAATCGTTTCTATTCGAGAGGAACTCCTTATATGATTATAAAACAGAACAGAAAACATGGGTTTTATTCACGTCTCAAGTGACAGTAGCATTTCAATATAATTAAAACAGCCATTGAGTAATTTTTTAATAAATTAAAAGGAAATTTCACAAGACAACTTCCATGAACTCAAAGAAAAAGAAGAAAATAACCCGCTTTAAACAATCGCCAACTTCGTCGCCGCAATATCAAGAGCATCAACATCTGGGGTTAATCTCGCAAACGCTTTTTTCGAACCGTCAGGTCTATACAAAAATGAACGAATTAGCAACTCAGAAACCCCACCGCAAATCAGAGAAAATCCTCCTTCGTCTTGAGCGTCGAACAACCTACCTGATGAGGGTGTTAATCTTGACGGTATCGACATCATAAAGAGTCTTGAGCGCCTGCTTAATTTGTCTCTTGTTGGCCTTCACATCGACGATGAATACCAGGGTGTTGTTCTCCTCAATCTTCTTCATGGCGCTCTCAGTGTTCAAGGGATGGATGATGATTTTATGTTGGTCGAGGCGGGTTTCATGAGGAATCGACTTGCGGGGGTATTTGGGAGACCGCGAGAGCTGGAGGGTCTTTGGTCGATGGAAGGTGGTTGATGTCCGGATCTTGCGGACCTTGTGCGCGTGAACCTGTTGCATGCCCAGTCTCAGTACATATCGTGTTGCCTTTTCGTCGTGATATTGTCCCAATTGGCTCGTATATCCTGGCATCGTGGCAAAAAAAGAGAAGGGATTATTTTTCAACGTACACCCTTAAGCACCGCCTTCGCAGCAGCACCAGCTTTGGCGCTGGGCTTTGCGGCTATAGTTTTCGACAAGAACCGTCAGCATATCTCGTTGACCAGAAATGAAATTGATTCCAACATATTCCCGAGGTTCACTATCTCCCTCTTTCCCCTCTTTCTTTCTTCCAACTGTCGAAAGAAACTCTCATTGACATAGATCGTGTGCGTATTTGCTTGCTTCCCGCTGCCCTCCATTCCCCTTCCTCAACGCAGGCTCAAAAATTCCACGCAAACAAAGCAACACGGATGATCTATCCTCACCTTTTTTAGTATCCGACTTGGGTCCCATGGCTGTCGATTGGCGGCGTTGGCTGGTGGTTATCGTCGTCGTCGTTGTTGTCGTCACAGTCGGTCCTTTAAGGGGGGTCAGTTCGATCTTCTGCTCTTTGGGTTTGTCAACTCTCGCTAAGTTTGAAAACCTGAGATTGTGTGCGTCACGTGATTGGCCTGTTCGCAGCGGGCGCCATTCCCAAAATAGACACCATCTCAACCTACCCCAACCCTCTCAATAACTGTTGCGATGTATCTTTATGTACACATGTTTGGAACGGGCGAAAGAGTTCATTGCTAGTCGAGACTAGTGCATTACCTACACCATGTCTCATCTGTAGCAATGCCGAAGGACCCAGATCCTTAAATCTGATGTCCCACGTACCGCAATTCTCTCTGCAAAAGAAGATTTGTGCTTCCGGAATACCATGACAATATGACAATAAACTCCCCCCGTCGCAAAACTAAAATGAAAACCAAAAGGAGAACCCCCGGTTCACTCTCTCATGGCCGCCCACCAACCGCCAGTAGCAAACCCGCTGCCTCCCTCTCTGCCAAGGCCACGCGAACTTTAATCCGCTCCCACCACCAGTTGCATAAAGCCCGCGCCCGCGCCCTCGCGGAGAATAACGAGGCTCTTGTCCAGGACCTGGACAGGCAAATTGCTTCCATTGGTGGACTCGAGAGCTATCAGCTAGCTAGCAAGAAGGGCCAGTCAAAGGAGCGCGGTGGGGATTCGAGTAAAGTACTTGTAGAGTGGTTAACCCCCGTGTTGCGGATGCTGAAGAAGAGTGGTGACTCGAAAGATAGGTGGAGTAAGTTGCGGCTACTCGAAGTAGGCGCGCTGAGTTCTGTGAACGCCTGCTCGTGCGTTGGGACGCTAGATGTGACACGGATCGATCTGCTTTCGCGGGAGAAGGGGATCCTGCAGCAAGATTTCATGCAACGACCGTTACCCGTCTGCGAAAACGAGAAGTTTCATATCATTAGCCTATCGCTTGTGTTGAACTATGTCTCAGATCCGGCAGGGAGAGGGGAGATGCTTAAGCGGACTACGACGTTTTTGGCGCCGTTTATGGGAATTGGTAAAGGGATTGCAGCTGGAGATGCAACGTCGGTATCAGGGGGAGAGACTGCGGGTGAGATGCTATCTCATAATACTTCCTTTGCGCCTTGCCTATTCCTTGTCTTGCCGGCGGCATGTGTGCTGAATTCACGCTACTTTACTGAAGAGCGGCTGCTGGCTATCATGTCAAGCCTGGGGTATCAGATGACGCAGAGGAAGTTGACGTCAAAACTTATATTTTATCTTTGGGAATATAGTCCCCAAGATGAAGAAAGGATGAAAAATGAAGTTATGGTATTCAGGAAAGAAATGCTTAACCCAGGTCGGAACAGGAATAATTTTACTATTACGCTCTGCTAACAAGCACCGACGATTGTGAGAGGTGATGAATTAAGAATTCAAGTTCTATGTGCTGCCGATGGAGTGAGAAATGGAGAAGAAACTCCAGCGGCTCTCACATGATGCATCCAAATGACACCATGCCTGGTAGGAACGAATAAATCAAGCGATGGTATTCTACATATCTATTTTCTTGAAGCCTTCTTGGAAACACTTAAGAAACAAGATTTGACCTCCATCCCTTAATCTTTTATGGTTTCTATCTTATATTACCATACCCTTCCACAGCTAGTCTCGGCCGCGATTCAAATAAAGGAGCGTTAAAAGTAATTAATACATTAAAGAAAAAACACACCTTGCGGCTAACGCCAAAATTTATAACTCTCCTCAACCCTTTGTCCATCATACACATCTCATTGACCACCCCAATGAGTCACAAGCGCCGTAAAACAGGAGAGTGCTCTCTCATTGCTGCCACTACTCCCCACCCTCACCAGCCCCCTCTCTTATCCATCCTGTAACATTCACACATACTCCCCTACCGCACACGTACGTCCACTGACCTACGTCATTTCAACCCAATATTCTCCTTAGGAATAAATGCCCACGCCGTCCCCACAACCGCCATAATAGAACAAACAATCAACAACAACCAATCCGCAACCCGCTCCTGAAAACTAATCCTGGATCCAAAAATTTTCATATAAAAAACAATAGGGAGGATGATGCAGATGGTGATACACAGGCTCGCACCGATAAGGGCCATGATGCGGTCGAAGTACGGAAAGACAATGGCGATGTAGGTGATGAGGACGATTGTGGCGATGCGGGCTGTGACTTGGACAGTGGTGCGGATAAGGTGGGTTGGCTCCTTTCTCTCATTCCTCGCTTTCTTCTGAGGGTGTTGGCTGCGGGTAGGGATATTGTGGAGGCCGCAGAGTGATTCGACTGTGCTGACCAGTGGACGGCAGCTGGAATGGAAAAGGTCAGTTAGGTCGCCAAGGGGTTAGTCGGGGTTGGAAAGGGGCGGGTGGCCATTTTAGTATATATAGTTTACCTGAGGGGTATCTTCGTCAATGGAATGATGGCGATAAATACGACAATGCAAATTGACAACCAATTAGGGTATCCGGATGTGAGGAGAACGTTGTATGTGACTTCGTCGGTAACGTCGGGACCAAACATGAGCCAGCCGGCTGTCGCCATGGCCAGGTCCAGGAAAAGCTAATAGAAGGTATGGTTTAGCGTATTCTGGAAAATTAAGAGCTGATTTAAGGGTTCAAAGCATGGCTACTACTCACTGTGAAGATGTAAGTTATCCAAAGGCTCTCTCCGTACTTGCGGGGGTGTCTCATGTCTTTGTAGATGTTTGGGAAGACGCTGTGGCCGCCCCAGGGACCTGGCAGTAAAGGACACATGTTTAGCGTAACAATGTTAAAGACAGTGTGATCGAAGTGGCTAGACTCACACATAATCAGTCCAAAGGAAAGCGGGACGGCATCCCAGTTCCCAGGGAGGAGGGATGTCGGGGCAGGATCACGGAGGGAGCCTGGGGAGTCCGGCTTGATAATACCATCGACAAAAATAATCAGAACAACTTTTTACGAACTGTTAGCCACGTTCATGTTATTTCGAGATGGGTATTCCTTAACTTACTAGAAGTACAGCAAAAAATGCCCAAAATGCTCGACAAGCTCAGAAGTCGCAAGGGCACGAAGTTCATCGGGATTAAAATTGCGCCGCATATCAGTTTCCAACGAAGGGCCCCTAGTCCCGGAATCAAAGCGTCAATGCTATCTGCAAAGAGCACAACCAAAGCCACACATGCACCCATCAGTTCCAAGGAGAAGAGTAGGCTGGTGATGATACGAGCTTGGGGCCCAAAGCTGATATATGCCAGATCAGCATAGGTAACGAGGGTAGGATCTACATCCATGCACTTTGCGAGGATTTTGGCCGTATATGCAGTAGCCATTGCCGAGAAGATAAGCAGAGGAATCCCGATAACCCATCCAGCATATTTGAGGCCTAGGGGTAAGCTAAGTAGGCCTATTCCAATCAGGACATTGACGGAGTTGAATATGGTCTGGGGAACGGTGGATTGGCCAACAATAATGGTTTCTTTGGAGCCATCTCGGTGTTGGATGTGCTTGACGACGAGGGGTTCCCGATCAGCGTCAGCGTCTATGATATCGGTATTGGTTTCGATAAGGTGGTGCTCCCTATGCAGTTGGGCGGCGTGTAATCGGGTCGACTCGCTTATTCTAGTCGAACTTGCTGTTCCATACGATGCCTCGTAGCTTCTTCCCAGGAGTGGTGTTGTGCGCGCAGATGCGTCAAATCCACCATCCAGGTGAGGTCGCCTGTGCTCCGTTCCCTCTCTAGTTCCGTAATCATGAGAGTTTGCAACATCGTCATCATCACAGAGCGATTCTGGTACGTGCTCTCCTGAAGCAGAGGGCCGACTCAAGAGAGGTCTGGTTTCATCTATGGGCAAATCGCGGCCATGTTCCTCGTCATCAGGCAAGGCCAAGAAGAATGATGATCGACGGGGAGTAACCTCTGGGAATTGGGCCGCTCTCTGCCATGACCGGGCAAAGTTGTCCAAGCTATTAGGAGGTCCAGCGACCGATTGCCTCCTTGAGGATATGTCAGACAGCCTGCAACTCATGTCAGCAACGTGCATGTCAACCTGGGACAACGCGAACGGATACCATTAAGAGCAAAATGAAATGAACGTACCACCGTCTTCGTAAATCATTATCGTCAGTTCCATGATGAGGGAGGTGGTGTTCATGTTGTGCGATGTTCAGAGGATTCGAGGACGCGGAGGATAATGATAGTCGGGAGCCTGAGGGCAAGGCCTCTCTAGAGCCCTGGAATTTCATGGTTGAGCTGAGCTGTCCTCTCCACCTCTTCAAATATCCTTTTCTTACGTATCCACGGCACTTAGGAAGGGAATTTGGGATAGGGTAAGGAAATGAACGTATTTATCGGTTTAAAATGGAATGCGATGCCTCGTTCCAAGGACAAAACCCCCCAGAGAAACGCAGAAGGGGTATTTAGAAAGCGAGAGAGAAAAGGAACATCCCCAAACACAAGAAGACCCCTGATTGACAGATATGGGTATATCTAAACAAAATAATCACAAATTATTTCTCGACGTGGTAGTGGAGCTATATAAAAGCCGCCAACCCCAGTCAAGTCACCACTAAGCACGGAACACCCGTCTATCAAGCGAACTCCACGGGTGGCGATAACCCATGGAAAATATATATACTGCGGTATGAATAAACTAGAAGAATAGGGCTTGTGTCGGCTAAAGATGGAGATAATTAGGATTGTTGAACATGTTTGTATATCTTATTGATGATGGATAGGTTGGGCATCTGAATTTAAGGGGATTTTCGGAGTAAAGATCCGCATCCGCAGCTTGGTTTTTGCAGTCGAAGGGCGCGGTCGGGCAATTTAAGATTCTGGAGCTCCCGTTTATCCATCCGTCCTGCGAACAAGGACCATGGTTCACGGGCAGTCCGTGGGGAGGCATGTGACCATTGTCCGGACATATTAAGCAATTCCTTCCCCCTTCTGACACACTGCAAGAAATCCAAACCTGGTTCTTAGGAACCTGGTGGATTAATTGTTTCAAACCAAGGGTTTCCCGTTGCCCTGTTCGAGTTGGCTGCAAGTCTGGCAATTGGCACGGAGTTTATCTTATGTAGATCCATAGTTGAAATGTTCTGCCAAAAATCCGTCGTTCTGAGTGGTTGGTTAGCTTAACTAATTGACCCCACTACTTTTATCTAGTTCACTTGTTGCTGCAACAGACAACATCCAATCTGCAAAGGACTCAACCCGCCGACTCCATTTGATAACTATGCTCCGTAGTCCTCCAAATATTCCATAGAGTTGCCCCCCCAAGCACAGGGGGGAGGAAAGACAGAGCAAGAAATGAAGAGAATGCAAAGAAAAGGAAAGGAAACAAAGAGGGAGCGAGTCGCCACACGATGCGCTTCACCAATTCCTCTTTAACCGTCTAAGCCACCTTTCTCCAACAAGAATTCCCCTGCCTTGAACCACTCTAAGTCTCCAAGATGCGTATGTATATATATCATACATCTACTCAATCTTCTCAACAACACAAGCAGTTCCATACGCACACACCTGCGAAAACCCACCCAGATCACTCGTATCAAACCGGAGCGCGATAATCGCATTGCCGCCCTTGTGCAGGCACTCCCCCACCATTCGACCAACCGATTCGTTGCGCGCCCGGTACAGCATCGTTGTGAACATGGGTAGCTCGCCGCCAGCAATGGATTTCAACACCATGCCCATGCTCGCGGCCCAGTTGCGCGATTGCACCGTCAAGCCGAACACGGCACCCAGGACGCGGACTACGCGATAACCTGGGAGGTCGTTCATGGTTGTTGTGATGACACCGTCGCTGTCGGTGAAGGCGGAGACGTCGAGGTTATGTAGGCAGTTTTGAGCTGCTGAGGCTGTAGCTGGGGTGTTTGATGTCATGGCTATGGTGACTGATGGGGTATAGTTTTATATTTGATTTGATGCCCGTATGCCCGTATGCCTGCAGGTAAGAGGCATAGATGTATGTCGATATGTAGGTATATGCAGCCCCGCTATTGATCAGGCGGCCAATGAGGGTTTGGAGTCGCGAGAGATTGTTTTCATTAACTTCTTGCTGTGAGAGCTGTAGATAGCTATTTCTTCAGGCAATCGAGTCTACAAAGTTCCGTGGAAACCGTGAAGCTATATATACCAAGTGGACAGGTTTGCCGTGGGGTTTAGAAACCTAACTCTGTTCAGGAAACAATTCGTATTCCTCCTCACGAGAGCTAGTAAATATGTTAGTTTCTGCTCCATCCGGAGAACATATCTCCGTGGATAAATATGCTAACGAAGCCCCCGCCGAAATATGCCTTACTGCTGCTGCTGCTCTCTCTGTCTGCACTGTACTTTCAATCTTGGGCCTGATTGCATTCGCTTAATAAATGGCAATCAGGAGACTATGTATACTAAGGAGAGCGGGGGAGTCTCCACATCCAATTATATCAGCCAGACAACTGATCGATCCGAAGGAGATTTTGCCAATAAATTTGGAGATCAAGGAGTAGTTATCTGATATAACGGACTATTTAAGAGGAGCAGAAGTAGTTGTTCTTCTTCAAAGTCAACTGTGTTTGTTGTTGATATCGATATCGATATTGACAGCCAGCAATTCAGGCTGGTCCTCAAAGCGATGATGATGATGATGCCAAGTCATTAACCAGTGCTGCCTCCTGCCTACAGAAATGCCCCCTTCCAACACACATGCCATTTAATAACAACTAGATCCAATAAATTGTCCCCGCCCTTTTCACCTTGATGTGCTCCGTTAAAATAGTATTAATAGAAGATCGAATTGCGAGTCCGACTTGGCGCATCCAGTCGTTGGAATGGACACCCGAACATGCTGCTTATGTCATCACTCCTCAGCCCACTTCGACAACCTCCCCCCCCCCCCCCCACACAATACCACCCGTCCGCTGAGAAAATTGTTTCAACCTCTCTCTCTCCTCAGTCTGAGGCAAGGCGACCGGCTCAAAGGTGAGTCCCTTCTTACCCCTATACTATTTTCACGTCTATATCTGTCTGCCGTTGGAATTGTGGCTTATATCCTCAAAATTCTAGTTTGATACTTCTATCACCCCAAACGGCTCCCCCCGGTCGCACATCCACCGTCGCCCACCATGAGCGCGGTTCAGGCGAACGACGCGGAGAAGAACATCGAGATATGGAAGGTGAAAAAACTGATTAAACGTCTCGAGGCCGCTCGTGGGAACGGGACGTCTATGATTTCCCTCATTATCCGTGAGTTGCAGATCTTACCTCTTTAATCTACTTCTTTTTTCCCCATCCCATCCAAGGACAAGAAGCCCCTCCTAAGACTGACTCAATGTTTCTGCCTTGCAGCACCCAAGGATCAGGTCTCGCGGGCAGCCAAGATGTTGGCTGAAGAATTCGTATGCTGCCAGTTCCATTCCCCAAGAGTTGGATTGAAAAGGTAAATACTTACCATCGTTCATATAGGGTACGGCATCCAATATCAAGTCGCGTGTCAACCGTCTCTCCGTCCTGTCCGCTATCACCTCCACCCAACAGCGCCTCAAGCTCTACACAAAGGTCCCCCCCAATGGACTTGTCATATACTGTGGTGAAATCATCACGTCCGAGGGAAAGGAACGGAAAATTAACATCGACTTCGAACCGTTCAAGCCCATCAATACCTCCCTCTACCTTTGTGACAACAAGTTCCACACCGAGGCCCTAAGCGAACTACTCGAGTCAGACCAGAAATTCGGTTTCATCATTATGGACGGTAATGGTGCCCTTTTTGGAACCCTCAGCGGAAACACAAGGGACGTCGTCCATAAATTCTCCGTCGATTTGCCCAAGAAGCACGGTCGTGGTGGTCAGTCTGCCCTGCGTTTTGCGCGTCTTCGAGAAGAAAAGCGCCACAACTACGTCCGTAAAGTTGCCGAGCTTGCTGTGCAGAATTTCATCACCAATGACAAAGTCAACGTTGCCGGCATCATCCTTGCTGGATCTGCGGATTTCAAAAATGATCTTAACCAGTCCGATATGTTCGATAACCGCCTTCAATCCAAAGTTATCAAGGTCGTCGATGTTTCTTATGGTGGTGAGAATGGCTTCAACCAAGCTATTGAGCTTGCCTCAGAGACTCTCGGAAATGTCAAGTTTATCCAAGAGAAGAAACTCATCGGCAAATACTTCGAGGAGATCAGTCAGGACAGCGGCAGGGTCTGCTACGGTGTGGAAGATACCCTCAAAGCCTTGGAGCTGGGTGCTGCAGAGACATTGATCGTTTTCGAAAATCTGGACATCACCCGGTGGGTTCTCAAAGCATCCACTGGCGAACAGGTTATTCTGCACACCACCAAGGCCCAGGAAACCAGCCGGGAATTGTTCATGGATAAGGAAACAGGCCAGGAAATGGAAATTGTCGAGCAAGCCTCCTTCCTCGAGTGGCTAGCCGAGCACTACAAAGATTTCGGTGCAACGCTGGAGTTTGTTTCTGACCGATCCAGCGAAGGAAACCAGTTCGTCAAGGGCTTTGGTGGCATTGGAGCTGTTCTCCGCTACAAAGTTAACTTCGAACAACTTGCTGATTATGAATCCGAGGACGAATTTTACGACGGTATGCATTTTTTTTTGTTTCCTTTTTTATTTATGATTTTTCCGGTCTAGAGAAATAAAACTAATTCTATTCTCTTCGTGTCTCAACAGATTGACGGTTTTGTGACCTCGCGGAGAGCGAGGATAACTGCCCAGAAATTCCTTCAACGGATGTTCTGACGGCTCGTCCCTTGAATTCAGCTAAAAATGCCATTCAAGGAGGTTACCAGGTAGCCGTCATGCGGGCTTTAGGTCCGTCTGCCCAATGCAATACGAAGCTTCTCAGAGGTATGTCGTCAATGCTAAAACCACTTTCTCACTCTCATTCCCCTTTCCTTGCTCTTTGAACGTCCAATTAAATCTAATTAATCATTTTAGGGCCATCCAAGCTCCGAAATGTAGCTATGAGTAACTAAACGGTCTGCAAAATAAACAATAGAGGAGGCCGTTTATTATCAAAACCTGCTGGATTACCGAGCGACAAAATGGTCCGAGGGAGGCGTGTAGCCTTTCTTTTTTTTTTTTTCTTTTCTTTCCTTTTTTTATTCTTTCAATCATCCAATGCTGTAATCGATGCTTTGTCTCCATTCACAGTAAATTATGTGCCAACGGCCAGAGTGACTACCGGCCGGGCTAGTTCACTGGGAGGGAATGGAAGTTTCCAGATATTTATCGGTTCTAAATTGTCTCTTATCTTTACGTCTGTCTTCCCGCAGTTTATTATGCATTATTATAGTTGTTTGTCCCTTCTTCATGCTTAATACTTCATTCGCTGAACACCAATCGCTCTCTGGTAGTCATGTACTGGTGGTGGTTGATACCTCTTCGAAAAATATATAAAGGAGCAGCAAAAACACCTCCAAAATCCAGTCTCAATCAAACTCTTCAGAGGTAAATTTTGTTTCATTTATGTGATGCAAGTTTTTTCCCCCTCTGTTTAGTTTCCCTCCCATGTTTGATGGATTGGGGATCCATCCAGCACCTGGGACTACAGTCGCATCCAAGGTGGACAAAATACAACAAAAAGAGAAACCCCAACTATAGCAATATGCAATCATTCATTCAGCTTCACCCATTCACGATTAAACTACTTGTAGTAGTCTATCTTGGCTGGGTATATCACTCATTCTGATTCTCGTTTTATTCCTCCCCTTTGCCGATTTCCTCTTCTCCCTTCCCCTCCCCTAACCGATCCCCCCAACTCCCCAAATCCCTACAACAGCTAGTCTTCCCCTCCAACTCCCGCATAGTCCTCTCCACCACATCCTCCTGATGCACGCCGCGAATCCTTTCACACTCAACGAAGAAAATATACTGCCACGGCCGAATCTGGCCAGGTCGAGGCATGATGCTGGTTAAATTGAGTCCGTAGCGGCGGAAGATTGTCAGCGCATCAACGAGGGCGCCGGGGATTTCATGCGCGATCATAAAGGAGATGAGGGTCTTTAGTTTCGATGGTGTTGCTGTGCTTGCGCTGCTTGGCGTCGGTGGATAAAAATCCGCTTCTCCGCTCCTCGTGCGCTCATTATTAATATTCCGCAGAACGAGGAAGCGTGTCGTGTTGCCTGCGCGGTCTTCGATGTTTGTGGCGAGGATGGATAAGTTGTGGTATGTGGCGGCGAAGGAACTGGCGATTGCGGCTTGTATGCCTTCGCCGCTACCGTTAACGTCATGTAGCGCACAGCCGGTATTTGCGACGATGCTTGCTGCTTTGGAGGTTGAAGGGGCATCTTGTCGCTCAACGCCATGAAAGTGTTTGGAGAGGAAGCGCTCGCATTGGCCCCAGGCTTGCGGGTGGGTGTAGAGTTTTGAAATGCGAGGGTAGATTCTTTCAGGGTGGGAGGCGTCTTTTTTGTTTTGGGAGATATTTTAGTTTTTAATAATACAAAATGAATATTCTTGGATTCCTCGTCGCACATCGACGGAGTGTGATATAAATGCTGTATAGATATGGACGTACCTGAAGTAGCATCCTCCTTGCGGACAAGCAGACAATGGTGGACAGTTAGATAATACTCCCCGCACACGACGATGTCATTGTAGCGGCCATCGCGGTCGGCGAGGAGGTCTAGAGTCTGTACGACAGAGCCATTTGTGGAGTTCTCGAAAGGAATAACTGCGTAGTCAGCTTCGTTGGATTGGATTGCAGCAAATGCGTCTGCGAATGAGGGTTTTGGGAGGATTGAAGCGGTTGTTGAGTTGGCGGACTGAGAGGAGGACGAAGCGGTGGGGAAGAGGTTTAGGACTGCCTGTTATTGATTTTAATTTAAAATTTCTTTAAGATGTTCTACGGAAGCTGGTATTGTAATTGGGATTGCATATATAAAACCTGCATATTTATTTCTGACCTGGTGGGAGAATGAAGCCAGCGGGCCGAGAAATGTCACCCGCAGGCTTTTGGAGGGAGATAACATAGTGCGGGATGGTGTATATACCCCGCGCAATTAAAACTCTGTATATATGATTTTATCATCGAGGGAATAAGAATGGAGTATTATTAAGAATTGAAAAGAATCCCTTTCTAGAGATCGCCAGAAGTTGAGACAGTTTAAATATTTTTTTTGAGATGAATCAAGCCCGACCGCCGGAGAGATTGAAAATATTTCCGCACAATTTACCACGCGGCAAGAACTGTTTATTTTATTGTATATGGTGTGGATATAACGATCTCACAACAACAACAACATCATCATCATCATCAAAAAATTGAGATAGATCGAAGAATATAACAATAACCAGCAAGCAGTAACTATTTAGTCTTGCTGGAATGACCAATCTGCGCTGACAAAACACCCGCAATGTCGGTTAGCATTTTTAAACATGCCCACCAGCGACTGTATACATCACAGCGCAGTCTCTCATCTCTCTCGTCCCTCTCCGTTCTGCGCAACGAACTAACCCAACGCCGCCTCCCGCTGTTCTACGACTATCTCAGCCCGCAACAATCGCATCTCCTCAACCTCTCTCTCGACGATATCATCCCTACCTCAGGACCTACCTCCGCCAACAACGGCAATGCCACCGCCCTCCCTTCATCAGTTCTTAACCCCCGCCCTCTGCCCGCTGGTCACCATCTAGTCTACTTCCCGCCACATGTACCTTCATCACAACTGCTGCCAGATGGGACAGACACATTACATTACCCGGGCCCGCCCTTTAACCGGCGTATGTGGGCTGGGGGCTGGGTGAGATTTTATAACGACGGAAATGATGGGCCGTTGCTCCTTAACGGGCAGCGGGCAGTGTGCATAGAGGGGATCAGAGATGTGTCTGTGAAGGGCAAAGATGGGGAAGAGAAGGTATTTGTTGCGGTTGAGAGAAGAGTTGCGGCTGTGCGGGAAGGGGAAGAGGAAGAGGAGATTCGAGGGCGGGTGTGGGCGGTTGGTGAGGAGGAAAAGGGGGATGCGGTGGTGGTTGAGAGGAGGAATCTGGTGTTTATGAGGGATATGGAGGGGGAAGTTGAGGGGGTTAAAGGGAGGACTAGGAGAGCTGTTAAGGGTATGTGTGATTGTGTGTGAAGGCACTTTTAAGTTGTATCTTTCATATTTATATATATATGCGATTGGTGGGACGTATATAACTACCTACCCTGCGAACTTACCTCTCCTGATGTTGCGATTCGACTGACAGCATTTTCACAAAATAAACAGCCCCATTAAACCCGGATTTCAGCCATACTCTAATCCCATCGCGGTCACTGCTATTCCGCTTTTCAGCACTGACATTCAACGCGCACTCCATCCACCTGGACAGAGGCTATGCGCAGAACATCGAGGGATATCAAGACGTGCTGGTTCACGGCCCGCTGACCCTCACCCTGATGCTTACCATATTCCAGAATCAAATCTCTGCTCTATCCGGCGGACAGGCGGTGATTGGGAGTATTGAGTATCGGAATCTGTCGCCGTTATTTGCTGAGCAGGAGATGAGGATATGTGCGAAGCGTAAAGGTAATGGGAACGAGGATGGTCATGCAGCTGCTCCGGCTGGGGCATGGGATATATGGGTTGAGAGCCTTGATGGGGGATTGGCCGTCAAGGGAACTGTGACTGTACATGTGAAGACGAGGAGGAGTTGAGGTTATTTATATATATCCGTGTAAATACATTACATTTTTCCATTCCTCTGTTATAGACATATACTGTATCTATGTATATGTACAGATAAGCATTGGATTTCCCCCAACTCGTAGAGCACCATTTCCTCTTTTGGCGGCTTAGAGCCACAATAGATAGGGCTCCGATTCGCCGGATGCACCGGCCTTACTAATCACCATCGCGGCTCTTTTTGCGCTGTAATAATTTCTCCGTAATAAAAGGGACCCTCTTCAACTCCCACCCGACCTCACCTCAACTTCTTCTACTTGCTCCATTTCCCTTTTCTCTTTGCTTCCTCCTCACAACAATGCGAACGGAAGAAGTATCTGCTTACTTTCTCTGTTTTGCGCTGTACTTCTAACAGCAGTCTAGTGCTCTCTCAGAATGGATGTTTTTTGGGCAGCACCACCAGTGACCAGGTATGCTCGCAGCTATGCAAATTCCGGGAAATATTAACGGAATACTAACCATCACTTGCTCACTTGGTCATGGATACACAGGGCTATCACAACTGCTGCGTTCATAGAGTCTCTACTGGTCTATGGTGGTTTTATAACACCATTGTCAATCGTCTTCCACACCCCATTTATCCTCAAGACCCTCCCAGAGGTCTGGCGATTAGTGACGCCTTTCCTCCTGACCGGCCCAGGGCTGGAATTTGTCTTTGACCTCTACCTTTGTAGGCTTCTTTGCTTCATGAAATGCTGCCAATTCCACCGCCACTGCCACTCTTTTTGGCAAAACAAAAGCGGCTTCTTTCCACTCACTGACTTGATAATAACCCTACGCCAACAGTGTATAGATATGGCAGCGGTTTGGAAAGAGACTCGCCACTCTTCTCTCTCCCTGGTGACTTTTTCACATATGTTGTCTTTGTAAGCACCGTGATTATGGTATGTGGTTTTTCCTACGTCTTTTACTATTATTTGCTCCAGTTTACCTCCGCATATCTGCCCGCCCAGCCTAATCTAGCTGAAGCGGTTCCTGGTCGAGAGGAAGATTACCCCTACGTCTCTTGTTGTTCCAATCATTCGCAATCAATCCTTTTTATGGGACAGCAGGCGCTGTAGGCATGGTGGGATTATCTGATACGTTACCGATTTGAATTCTTCTCGACTTCTCGTCCGGTGGTTGTGGATCCCTACATTCCTTAAAAAAAAAAAAAAAAAAAAAAATTATATCCTCTTATCATTTTGGATGTTGCATCCGTCTATAAAGTATTTAATATCTTCGTGTATTCTTTTTTTGCGTTATCCTCCATGTCTCTGCAATAGTTTATATCCCTATATCTGTGACATTGATATTTTCAGAATCAATCACTACAGAATGGAAGCGAGGCTGACCAGCCCACAGCTTACTGCAGGCCTCCTCCTAAAGTCCTTCATCTTCACTCCAGGTACGAAGCGAAATAACAAATATCCCGTTTGACACGGATTGATCTTCCATACAACAGGATAAAACAATCCGTAACTAATAACATCACTATTCACTTCCCAGCTCTACTAATCGCCTTCATGTACACTTACGGCCAAGTCAACATTGGCAAAAAAGCACACTTCTTCGTCATCCAGATCCCCGTCGAGTTTCTCCCCTGGGCCAACCTGGTCATCATCATGGTGATGAAAGGGTGGGGGGCAGCGCAGTCGGCAGCATGCGGCGTTGTAGCTGCTCACCTGTACGAGTTCCTTACCCGCATATATCCGACATACGGACGCGGAAGGACATTTATATGGACCCCCGTGTTTGTGAAGAGGTGGTTTGGCGCACAACGCTCAAACCAGGCGAATCGCACCTACGGGACATACCGTCGTGGCGATAGGGCTGTGCAGCAGGCAGGGGGTGCGTCGACGTCGTCGTCTGGGAGCGGGTGGTTTTCTGGCGATTCGTGGAATGGGAGAGGTGTTGGGCGGAGGCTTGGGTGATTGCAAAATTATTTGAGATACCAACCAGATGGTCGTATACCATGAAATTATTCATTTTGCTCAATAATTATTCTTAATTTTTTTTGTTTCCTTTGACCGTGATTTATTTGGCGCGACACATACATGAGACGATTGAATTTGGGATTTCTACGGTATGACTTCAGATGCAACATTATAAGCTTTTCACCTATGAACCTCTTTTGGATGCCCTATTAAATATTTTCCCTTCCCGACTTTACATTATCCCCGTATCTCGTGTTGCTCTGGCGCAACGCAGTGAAGTCACATGACCTTCTCACACTAAGCCCTTTCATCGCTAGAGCTTTCCTCCCCGAAAAAAAACCCAACAGCGACTTTTGACGCACTGCAAAATATTCGCCCAGCTCCGCCTCAGTTGGGAAACAGATCAGGACAACACTTTCGCCAACCCAGCTATTTTGCAAGTATCAGGTAATCCCACCAGCATTGGAATCCTTCCATCCACAATGGCCGCAGACACTGGAAGGATGGATGTCGACTTCTCCATCAAGCCCCAGGCGGTCACGCCCGCCATCCCGACATCTGAGTGGCCGCTGCTCTTGAAGAATTATGACAAACGTATGTACATGTACATATCTAATGTCCATATATCAGTCTGGGGATATATGCGACGACTTTTGGTTGTTGCTCTGCTATTATGAAATTCAACACTAAAAAACTAACTCAACGGCAATAAAATTCCAGTGCTTGTCAGAACCGGTCATTTCACTCCCATCCCAGCGGGATGCACGCCTCTGAAGCGCGACCTAAAATCATACATTAGCTCCGGAGTTATTAACTTGGACAAGCCTGCGAATCCATCGAGTCATGAGGTTGTAGCGTGGATGAAGAGGATATTGAGGTTGGTATTATTTATTCCAATTTACCCCATACCGTTTTAAGGAGGAAAAGGAAAACAAACGAAAAACAAAGGATGAAATAAGATTACACAAAACCTATTGAGTGAGAGCAGAAAGTTAACAACCATTTCGCCATTTGTACAGAGTAGAGAAAACCGGCCACAGCGGAACCCTTGACCCAAAAGTCACCGGTTGTCTTATCGTCTGTATCGACCGTGCGACGCGCCTCGTCAAGTCCCAACAAGGTGCCGGAAAGGAGTACGTGTGCGTGATACGGCTGCACGACAAGCTCCCCGGAGGTGAAGCTCAATTTGCCCGCGCCCTCGAAACGCTGACCGGTGCCCTATTTCAACGTCCACCCCTGATCTCCGCCGTCAAGAGACAGCTGCGTATCCGTACGATCCACGAGAGCAAGCTGTTCGAGTTCGACAATGATAGGCACCTAGGTGTGTTCTGGGTGAGCTGTGAGGCTGGGACGTATATTCGAACCTTGTGTGTGCATCTGGGACTGCTGCTGGGTGTTGGTGCGCACATGCAGGAGTTGCGACGGGTGAGGAGTGGGGCTATGGATGAGATGGATGGGATGGTCACGCTGCATGATGTGCTTGATGCACAGTGGATGATGGATAATAACCGTGACGAGTCATATCTGCGACGTGTTATTCGGCCACTTGAGAGCTTGCTTACGTCGTATAAGAGGATTGTTGTGAAAGATAGTGCTGTTAATGCTGTTTGCTATGGTGCTAAACTTATGATCCCTGGATTGTTGCGATTTGGTGAGTGATGATATATTTCCTGTGATCGGGATCATGCTGGGAGTTGGAGTTAACGTTCCCCTCTTTTACCCTGCAGAGGCTGGAATCGAAATCCACGAAGAAGTTGTTCTTATGACTACCAAGGGCGAGGCGATCGCGATCGCGATCGCTCAAATGTCCACTGTCGAGCTATCGACCTGCGACCATGGCGTGGTGGCCAAGGTGAAGCGTTGTATCATGGAGCGCGATCTCTATCCGCGCAAATGGGGTCTGGGTCCCGTCGCCTTGGAGAAGAAGAAGCTCAAATCCGATGGCAAACTTGATGTTCGTTTCCCTTCCCGCAGCCTCTGTACCCCGCCTCGGACATAAATGAAAAGACAAAGATGATAACGATGCTAACCTAACAACTAGAAATACGGCCGGCCAAACGAGAAAACGCCCGCGAAATGGAACGCTGAATACAAAGATTTCAACGCACCAATAGATAATGATGCTGCAGCTACTGGAGCTACTCCAGCCACCTCCAAAGAATCAGCCCCCGCTGCCAAAGTGAATGGAGGCTCGCCTGCAGCGCCCCCCTCCGCGGCCCCGGCCGCTGAAGAGGACGATGCTGAGAAGAAGCGCAAGAGACACGACGGAGAGACTGCCGAAGAGCGTGCGGAGCGAAAGCGCAGAAAGAAGGAGAAGAAAGAAAAGAAGGAGAGGAGGAGATCGAAGAAAGCGGAAAAGAGTGACGACGATAGCGAGTGAAGAGGGGTGAAACCAAATAGCTAAGCTAGGGTCAACTTGATTGGTTATGGGCGCTGTTGTCGTTTTCTTGTATGATATCTTCCTTGGTTTTTGATGTTACTTTTCATCAGGAGTTCTGGGAAAAATTGGGGTTTTTCTATTGTTTCTTGTTTTTTTAATGGCTAAATGCAATATTGATTTCTCTTGTCCCTTTTTGTGTGTCTTGTCTTTTGAAAGTCTCCTGATTTATACTATGGCTGATGATATTGTGTCGGTATTAATATGCTGTTAAGAAGTGCGTCATGAGAGAATGATTGAATCCAATTTCATAGGTCACTGAGACAATGTTATTAATCCCAAAGCTACTTGAAGGATTCACAAAATAAATATATAGAAAGACATGCCTACTACTGTCAATATACGGTATACGAACCTGGATGACCTAATATGGTGGTGGTCACATGGCCTTGACAACCCACCTGCTATTGACCTCCCGACTCCGCTACCGCAAGAATGAACAAGAACAGAATATAGCCGATTTACAGATAAATCCAGAGGTTTAGGGAATTTGGGTGGAAAATATATCTGGTACTCTCTATTGAATTTCCTCATAAATTATCTCAATCTGGGGAACTGATTTGCCCCTCATGGCTGCGGAGCTCACATCCATCAAGCTCCACCCGGAGAGCCATCTACTCCTGGCATGTACATACATCTATATATGCGGGCCGAGTGCCTGGCCACGACCCTATAGCCCCATATAATTTCATATAGCTAACAGCAAGAAATCCAGGACCAATCTCTCCTCCGCCTTCCCCACGAACTCGCCCGCCGCAACTTCAAATCCGTGCAGCGCATCGTCGAGCGGGAACGAGACCACATCATTCCATACCTTAAAGAGACCGCCAACGCCTCCCTCTCAGGAGCCCAAGATGCCAACCAAACACTTGCTGCCCTTGACACCATGATAAGTCGTATGCAGGGGTTAAAGCGCAAAATGGAAGCGCTGCAGGACGAAGAAAAGAAAATCTTGACTCAGTCGCGCAAGCGTATTCAGCATTTGGAGGACCTGTATAAGATCCCTAGTCTGGCAGATGTGAAGTATGAGGAGTGGTCAATGATAAGGCTGAATCGGTTGCTGGTGGATCATATGCTGCGCTCTGGATATGCGGAGAGCGCGAGACAGCTGGCTGAGGAGAAGGGGATTGAGGACCTGGTAGATTTAGGGGTGTTTGTGCAGTGTCAGCGGATTGCGGAGAGTTTGGGGAGAGGGGAACCGAAGGAGGCGTTGACGTGGTGTGGGGAGAACAAAGTGGGATTGAAGAAGGTTCAGGTATGTTCTTCTGCCCATACACACTCTGACTGAGCTGGTAATGTCTTGGGAACTGATGGCTTTTGGTGGCGATAGAGTAATCTTGAGTTTGAGCTCCGATTACAACAGTACATTGAGATGGTGAGGGCAGGCGATAAAATTGAAGCGAGACAGCATGCTAGGAGGTTCCTGTCCCCTCATAGTGAGACCCAGGCGACAGAGATTCGGCGTGCAGCCGGTCTCTTGGTATTCTCCCCTGATACAGAGGCTGCACCATACAAGGTTAGTTTTATTTCCTTACATTACAATATGATTAAGTTGCGATTACGTTCCCCGGTGAGTTTCTAAAGAAAAAATATGATAATGGCTAACTCATGCTTCAGGACCTCTATTCCTCTTCCCGCTGGAAACACCTCTCCAATCTTTTTATCCGAACCCACCACGACCTCCTCGCCCTCTCCTCCCGTCCCCTCCTCCAGATAGCGTTATCAGCCGGCCTGTCCGCACTAAAGACGCCATCCTGCCACTCCGCTTACGCATCCTCCAGCTCCAATCCAAACTCCATAACCACCTCCGTGTGTCCTATATGCTCGACGGAACTCAACGAGCTGGCACGCCACATGCCATATGCGCATCATACTAAAAGTTGTGTTGAAAATGATCCGATCGTGTTACCCAATGGGCGCATATATGGGCGCCAAAGGTTACAGGAGATGTGTAAGAAATCGGGCTTTGTACCTCCTGGTAAAGTGAAAGATCCCACGACAGGGCAGGAGTTTGACGAGCGTGAGATGAAGAAGGTTTATATTTCTTAACATTTCCTCTTTCGTATCTTTCGTTAATTCTGTTCCTTCTATTTTATATTTATTTACCTTTATGTTATGGCGTTTGGGGATGGATGGGTAGGGTGGGCTTTTTCCAGGATTTCCTGGATGATTTTTATCCGTACCGATGCATATTTTAAGAGGTCATCTCTCTCTTTGTATATATACATCTCGCATATATTGAACATAAATCCCTACTCCTATCAGTGATGATAATGACATTGTACCGTAAATAGGCAACTCTTTAACCGCTATCATCATCACTACTTTCTCCTCTTCTCCCTTTCCCAACTTTCTTCCCAGAAGCAGCAGCAGCAGCTTTCAACTCAGCTCCCTTCTTCTCGAAGACAAACATCCTAGCTTCCCTATCCTCACCTCTCCACCCACCTCTCCCTTTACCCCCATTCCGCTTCTCAATTTCCCCTACCGTGCGCGCATGTGAGTAACCCGGGTAACTAGTCCATGGAAACCGGAAACTAGTGACAACACGCAAGCCCGTGTGGCGTGCTAGATCACGGATGTTCCAAAGAGTATAGGGCTCGCCTTCGAAGAGGGTGATGAGGATTTGGCCTGGGGTTGTAGGAGGTAGGGGTTTCTCTTCCCTGCCCCCATAGTCATCGCTAGAGCCGGAGTTAGGCCAGTCCTCCTCGTCCGTGTATTCATGTTCATTCTCATCCGCGTTCGTCTGTGATGGGGTTGGCACAACAGGTTCAGAAAGAAGTGGCACGCATGCTTTGAAGAAAGAGACAAGTAGTTCCTGGTTCGCGCGTACCTGGCGATTTACATCTGTGCTTATGCCACCGACGTGGGGGAAGTTGAAGCAGATTATGTCCCAAGGACCACCGCTGCTGTGGCTACCGGTCTGCTTTTTCTGCTTTTGATGTGCGAGGCTGTGGTGAGTAGTAGCATCTTTCGATTTATGATCCCTTTTAGTTTTACCGGACGAGGGGGGAGCAGCAATGCGAGGGAATCCATTGCGAATCGTTTTGCCACCACCAGCAGGACCAGAGCCTAGCTTGCGGGCGTCGATTGAGAAAAGTACTTTTGGCCCCTGATTTTGGTGTCGAGGATGATCTTTTCGCAGGTTTCTGCCTACCTGATCATCCTGATTGCCGTCCTTCTCCCCCACCTCTTCCTCGTAGTCATTTCCACTTTCAGCCCCAAAGCTCTCATTCTCGTCCCTCTTCCGTTTCAAACCCTTCGGAGACGACGGTGTCTCCGAAACTCTCGCACGTAGCATTTTGATGTGCAGTTTTGCTTGCGGGTATTTCTCATACAGTGTCTGTTCAGAGTCGTAACTGGTGGCTAGCAAGTTTTTGCAGCCATGATGTGTAGCGAGGCAAAGGGCAAATGAGAAATCTCCTGCAGAGTGGTTAGATAATTTTCTTTCATGTATGTTTTAGGGAATATATCTGCGGAAAAGAAGGGTTGGGCCTGTGTAGATCTAATATCTAGATGGGAGTAGTTGAGAAATAAAAAAATAAAGGGTACATCTTCTTCCAGTGTGTCTGCTTCGGGTCTATGAATGGGGGTGAGAGGTGCATGATCTCCCTCTCTCTCTGGTGATATCTGCATGCATCCTGATAAACCTCATTCCATATGCTCTCTAAGAATCTGCTCATCTGCCTCCTGGTTGCAGATGGTGGTATAACGCCTAGTATGGCAATCGGGATACCAAAAGCAAAGCATACATTCCTCCTTACAAAGTCAAGCAAATATTCTGGTTTGCTACCCGTAAGTTGATCTCCAGGATTATATTCTTTTTGTCATTTCTCAAACAAAGCAAAGAACGAATCTCGATCAGCGAGCCAAATTTCAACAATTGAAAGAGGCACAAAAAATATATGAAAGAATCCAACTAGCAGAGCATATCAACGAATGCCACAAAAAAGAGTAAACATTAAAATAAGATAAAAAAATTAAAAAAAATAAAAATAAACCAACCTTCCCCAACCAGCAAAATCCTATCCTCCTTCTGAAACAGCATCATCGCATCCCGATTCGGTGCTATAAGTTTCACCCTGGAGGACACATTTCCATTCTCACCACTCTTCTTCCCCTTCCCGCCTCTAGACATAGTAGCAGGCGTCGAAACTCTCGAGAAACTCTTCATTTTCCTAGACCCACTGCCTGCAGTGGCGGTGGTTGCTGAGCTTTTACTTTTAGGCCTATCATGGTGAAGATAGTTGGCGATGCGCGCCTTTTTTTTAGACTTGCCCATTGCTAAGGTTCTTTATTATTGTTATTAGAGTTATTATGAATGGGGAGAAATGGGACAACTGAATGTGCAAGGCTAGGAGGTATATATTATATACAAGGACGGCTGATAAGGGGGTTGGTAGGTAAAGGGTATCATTTTTTTAGTGCGGAGTGTGAATTTTGGGGTGACTTAACTACACCAAAACTCTGGCATGCCCAAGAGAGAGTTTGGGTTAAGTTTCAACGGCTGCTATACGAAATCAACTAAACCAAGAAAATTTTATTCAGTCCTATGTATTCCCCAGTACCTATCTAGTGATCGTTGTCTATTTATTCTTACTTACGCAACACAAAATCGAAAATTGGATTTGATAATATCATTCAATTAATGCATAGAAGCTAGTGAAACATCCATCTCTACGCGCCTCAGACAGGTTGACAGAAGAAACAAAATAAGATGAAAAACCAGACCCAACAGAATATGCTACAAGGGTTATACTATTTGCGGACATCAAACTCAAAGAAGAAAAGAAATTGACGTGCACCTCTCTATCACATCCAGCCCTCAATGATGGTTTATGTGCAGTACATGCGTCAAGAAAATACGGCGGAAAAACCTCAAACCAGAAGGTAAGAAAGGCACAAGAATCAAGCATTACAGAAATCCCATCCCACACGCCTTATAAGAATAGATTTTGACAAGGAAGATTTGGTGGCCTTCAAGGAGACTAAGGGAAACAATAAGAAATGAAGCGGACAGGGAAAGAGGGAAAAAGGGGGAAGAAACGAACAGCAACGGGAAAACGTCCACTGGTACGCTATTCCATTAAAAAATGCATAGGTGGGATTCCCCCCAAAAAAAAAAATTGATGTAAAGGTTTTTGTGGTCAAAAAATGAAACTTACAAAATCCAAAAGAAAGAAAACCAGACAAACAAAGAATATATATGATATTGAAGCTCGATGTTGCAAACTTGACACGAAGAAGGGAGAAAATAATCGAAAGCGGATATAAACATCCAAAAGAGAAGTTTTCAGATGGTTTGACGGAAATACAAAGATTTGACCGGACTGCAACCGAGTGCGCCGGAGAATGGAGGGTGAAACACGTCGGTATTGTCCTCTGATTGTGTAAAATCGGTGCCTGCCTGAGAAAGAGGGACAGATAATAAAAAAACGCTGCAATGAAGATCGTACGGATATGCACATATTAAGTATTGATGGAATTTCCCATTAATATCCGCCATATTTCCAGGAAACGCGTAGCTGGTAAATACGCTCGTAACAGGAGATCGCCGCGGCGGTATGGGGAATATCAAGGATTCAGCCAGCATTTATTCAGCCTCTAGGACTTAAGCACATCTCTCATGCTTTGGCTGCTTGCACTTATCGTAGGATTGGAGGAGGGGAGAACACCAGTTCGGTTATTCATGTTCTGCTTAACCTTAGCCATAGCATAGACGATACCACTAACAAAGCCAACAATGATAGCGGAGACGCTGGGGAATGTGACAGGGGCGTCGAAGAAGACGAGGCCTGACAGGGCAATGGGGAGTTTATTCAGAGCCCCAACCATGGAATAAGTGGTAGAAGAAGTCACCCGTACACACCATGCGGAGGTATACGAGATGAATACAGTGGACAAGCCGGAGAAAATCATGGCCAAGATGACAGAGTTGCGGGTTGCGGGGGGGAAGTTCAGGTTGACGTTGGCAGAGGACCAGTCTTCCAACAAGAGTGAGGCGACCAGAATAATTGGGATGGAGAGAAGGTTGTTGTAGAACATAGTGTCAAAGTCCTTGAAGTTGGTCAACTTAATTCTCTTTCGCATGCCTAGGACGTAGCTAGCCGTGCAGAGGCAGTTGATAAGCATCCAGATATATCCGGCATTGAGGGTAGAGATCTTGGCTGTTGCATCGACGCCCGACACTGTTGAGAGCGCATGGCTGATATCCGCCCACGCCGCAATGATAGAGCTGAGAACCATCAGGCCGAAGGAGAAGAGCACCATGCCGGTAACTGAGCCTCCGAACCACAGAACCTCGCCGTACGCAATGAGGATGATCGTCAAGTTCTTGAAGATAGTGTAAACAGGGATGGAGAGATACTGGAGAGCTTTGGTACCAGTATATATCATACCAATGAGAAGAAAAGAAATGGGGAACCCTATACGATATTAGAGGCGGTTCATTATGGTTCCTACAAAAAAAAAAAAAAAAAAAGACTGGGAGAAATGCAAAACTCACATTTTTTGGCCTCATCTGCATTGAAATCTCGATAGGTGATAATCTTCAAAGATTTGCACGCTTGGATTGCAGCAACGCATACTATAGACTGGATGATACAACAACGGGCGCGGAGTGTTAGTCGGGATAAATACCGCAAATGGAATGGAAGGAGACCAAAAACAAGAAGCTGGCCAAGGGGGGACGTTGACATACCTGGACACAGAGAAGAAAAAAGTTCAAGTTGAAAGATATGCCCGACAGAACGTATTTATTTGTGACCGTCATTAGAATGGAAGACAAGCAGTAGCAGAGAATGGGGAGCGTGGAGCTGTGTGCGAGGGAGGATCGTGACGGTGAGAGTCGAGGTTGTGGTGGCGGCGGCGGCGGCGGAGCAGCATCGAATCGTTTGCTATTCGGATCCAATTTGTCCATATCGATGGTATAGATATCGCTCTTCTTGTCGTCCGCCATTTTGAATAAATTGTATCGAGTAATGGGGAGGAGTGGATGAGTTACGATGAGGTGCGAGTTTTGGGCTTTTGTTCAACGATCTTGGACAGGTAGAAAAGGGGGTCCGAGGTACCGCGCAAGAAAGAGAAAAAAAAGGCCGTCAAATATAATAATATGCAGACTCAAAGAAAGGAAGAAAGGCGAGAAACCTGAAGAGAAGGTAGACGAAGAACAGACGACAGGATAGACGAGAAGTGGGTGCCGTGAGTCCTGACAATGCAGAAAGTCGAAGAAGTGAGCGAGAGACGGTTTTGAGGGGCCCGTAATATTACATTACGCTTTTGGGGCTATTCCAGTTATCACGACGAGTAACTCACTAGTTAACTAGTTAGTCAACTATTAAGTTAGATTAGTCAGCGAGACGGCTATGGTTAACCTGATCCGAATGTTTTTAACATCCAAAGAAAGTTAAATAGCACGAACTTTAGGGGAAGTGTGAATTGAATTTAGATGAGTTCCATGAAGAAGTAGTAGTTAAATGAGTTCCAGATTTGGAGTCGTTTACCTATAATGTTGTTTCATTCATGGATTGTAACACGAGTTTAATATTTAGATCATGAAAAGGGATCATGCTGCAAACCAATCGAAACTGGATATAAATTTTATCCTAACAAACGTATTTCAAAATTATCAGCTCTACATAACTACCTTCATTTTAGGCTAATATACAGAGTAGAACATAGGGAATTAACACCCTACATTATACACGAAATCCCCTAATCTCACCGACCGCCCCTTTCTTCTCATACAACAACAACAACAACAACCGCACTCTCTGCCCAATGGCACCGCGCGATCCCGACCTCGCCTCCGATGATGACGACGACGACGACGATGCCCTCTTTGCCGCCCTCGAAAGAGAAGAAATCAACCCATCCCATACGGCTCAGCGAATCGAACAACTACAAGCGGAACTAGTCTCCCGGGCCCGGCAACAACCGCGGCAACAGGATCAAGACCCTTCCAATCCCATCTCCAACACCACAACCCTCCAAAACACTCTCGTCCCCACCCTACCAACCGACCAATCCCTCCTCGATTTCACAACCCGTCATCCCCGCTGCGTCATCCACTTCTCACACTCAGACTTCACCCGCTGTGCCGTAATGGACAGACACATCCACGCCCTCGCAGCGCTGCATCACGAGACCCGCTTTGCAACGGTGGACGTGCGCAACGTGCCTTTCGTCGTAGCGAAGCTGAAAGTGAAAGTTCTGCCCTGTGTCATTGGATTCGTGGACGGGGTTGGCGTGGAGAGGATTGTCGGGTTTGAAGGGCTTGGGTATGGCGGGCAGCAGGATGCTGATGAGGAGTTTCGCACTGGGGAGCTGGAGAGGAGGTTGCTGGGGAAGGGCTGTTTGGTTAAACGGAGAATTGGGAGGGGGGATGAGCTTGGCAGCGATGTTGAAGGGGAGAGGGAACAGGAGGTGAGGAGGAAGAAAAGGGCTGGGGTGATTAGTGGGTCTGCGAATAAGGGGGCGGATGATTATGATGATGATGATGATGATGAGTGGGATTGAGGATGCATTACTCACCGTCCTTGGATTGGAGTATATATATATGGATGAGCAGAAAAGATAAGGATAAGTAAATAGGTGATGGGTTTTTCTTTTCTTTTCTTTTCTTTTCTTTTTCTTTTTTGGTGGTATGCGCTTCTTGCACATTTGATATTCCTCGGCAGTTTGTGAGATCCCATTTGTTCATGATAGATCAAAGATAAAAATGCTCCTACACCACCATCTCTCCGTCTGTTTGCCCGCGATATCCAAGTATTTGGGTGAGGGCTGGGGGAATGTGATCCGAAACCGCTTTCGGGGGTTGGGGGGGAGGGGGGGGGAAATGTTCAGAAAAGGAAATGAAAGGAAATTCATTCCATGGCATGGAAAAGCAATGCTGCATCTAAAAGGATCCTACTTGAAATCTAAATGAGCTGGAATGGGATGGTTTATGTCAACCTGGATAGTAGGTATATAGACTCCAGACCACTCATTGAATAGATTAAGCCCACTTATATACACCAGAATCACTGTTCAACAGTACAAAAAGAAGCACTTCCATCTACACATGTTCTCATAATAGCAGATATATGGAAATGGCAAAAGAATGGGGGAAACGCCCGAGGAAACATTATTTCTATTTATTTCACCTCAACCCATATCCTTCACCAGGAAATTGCCTCGAAATCCCTGCGTCCCCTCTTCCTGTTGTGCCCTCAAGGTCCCGCCACAATTTTATTTATTTTTTATTGATTCATTTATTTTTATATTTGTCAAAAAAAAAATCTGAACGGAATAATTAGGTATCATGCAGCTAATCTTGTATTAAACGAACAATGGGGGAAGAGAACCACAGTCACTGAATTAATAGAAAACAGCGAAAGTAATATAGCAGTGAAAAGGAAAAGGGGTGTGGGAACAGATGAGGCAGAAAATATGCTAGTTGTACTGTTATACACGTAAAATGAGGAGAATTAAGAAAAGAAAGATTAGGAAAACCAGATTAAAGAAATAGAAAAAATGACAGGTTCTGAGGAACAAAACGAAGCAGAGGAAATGTATCTTAAAAGGATATAGCAAAGGGGCTTGGCACAAGAAGAAAGGGGAAGAAGAAAAGGGAACTTGGAATTTGTATAGCGAAATAGTCACGGCAACAAGAAAAGCAGCAGAAAAAATATTGAAAAGAGAAGAGAGAGAAAAGAAAGCGAAGCGTAGTGATTAATTTTACCTAGAGGAATAGAGAGTTAAAAGGAATAAAAACGAGAAAGAAAGAAAAAAGCCATTAATTAGTAGGGGGTTTGAGTGAAACTGTAATGCCGAACAAGAAGCTCGTAAAAATGTGTTTGGAGACAAAAAAAAAAAAAAAGAAAAGAAAAGAAAATATGAACACCCCCCACCAGAGCTGAGTAGAGACAAGAAGAAAAAGAAAAGAAAAGTCTATACAGTGAGCACGAAGACCGTCAATCGACTGTGCGTTGGTATTAAGAAAGGGAGGGGGAAAGGGACGGAATGGGTAGGGCGATTGAAGGGTGGAAAAAAGGGCGTGAAAAACCAGCAGACTAAAGCTGAAAGGGATACATGATAGTAAAGTGCAACAACAAGAGAAACGCTAACTACCCGATTTCACTTCCCAACCTCCCACGCGCCGTAGCGGTTCCGTATTATTTCGATTATGTTATACCTTAGCAAATTAAGCAAAGGGTGAAAAGAAGAAAGGACCCAAGATCGTCACTCTCGCTAGCGAATTTATTTTAGATGGCGACGTTTTTCATCCCCTCCAAAGCCTCAGCCTCCAGTCCTGTCGGTGAGCGTGGTGTCGTTACGTTGCTTTTGCGGTTTTCCTTTTCCTTTTCTTTTGAATTGCCAGAAGTTGACCCTTGCTCAGCGGATTCTTTGGTGGTGACTTCACCAATCGATGTGTTGGCGGTATTGGTTGTGCTCACTGTGTTTGTTGTAGTGGAAGGGGAGGCAAGTTCCGTCGGCTCATCCAGCTTCTTAAAAGTATCAGAATTTGACGATGAAGGGACATCTACCTTGTCGTTACTGGGATCTGAAACATCCGTTGACGTTGTCTCCTCCGCGACTCGTGAGAGAGGGCTTGAGATGCCAAATGTCGTCTTTGGGCTGGCATTTGGGCCGCGAGAGGGGAATCGGTGGGGGGAACGTCCGCGTTCGTCACCGTTGACGGTTGGGGTTCCATATGGAGAATCTCGGTTTCCATTCACACTAGTATTCACACCAAGGCTGTTCGTTGGCTTTCTCCTTGGTGGCTTCCGGCCATACTTTTGATCTGCACGCCAGCGAAGGATTTCAAGATAAGGTGGCTCCACACCTGGTTGTTTGAATTGCCTTAGTTTAAGTTCACCCGAGTCTTCGTCCACAAAAGATTTTGGGGAACATAGATCCTCCGCAACAATGGCTAGAAACGCAGCCCATGAACGCGCAACAACGTATTTACAGTCGTAGTCACGACCAAATAGGATCACCTGACCCCATTTTCCCGAGGGACCTGGCGCTAGATCGATGGCAATATTATTTCCACCCCAGTCGCGAGCAAGCGGAATCCAGCTTGGGTGAGCATATGCTTTCTGGATGGCCTTTGGTGGTTGTGAGTCCTGTTTGTCCAACAATTCCTGTCTCCACAATGTGTTCGAGCCTGTTTGGGTTGGCGGAGGCCCAGATGAGGAAGAAGCAGGTGAGCTGCCGCCAAAAACTTTCGAGGGTGGTTGAGGAGGGGAGAATGAAGAAGTACTGAGAAATTCCTCGTTTACGGTTCTCCAATTTTTCCATTCCTGGACAATTTCCTCGCAATCGAGCAGCATGCAGCCGAATATGATGCCAGTTGGCGTTCCACCGCGTTCTTGTCCGTCATGAATCTGTAAGGATTCCCGAACCTCGAGTGGAAGACTGCAGTCCAATTCGTGTTCCAGCTCATTGACATCATTCTGAGAGCATCCTTCACACAACTGATCGTAAAGCTCCTCGTAGTTCTTTTCCGCCCATAGATCAATCTTTTTCCAAGAATGCGAAACTGGAGGAGGCAGGGGGGCGCCGTCATGGAAACTTTGCATTTGTATCTCCGTGGGAGGGACGCTACCGGCGCCAATGTGTTCGGCTGATTTCCTTTGCTGGGATGATAGCGACCTTATTCCTGGTGAGTAGGGTCGAACAGGAGGCGTGACTCCCCTCTGCGAACCCGTCCAGCCCGGGCTGGACGATCGTTGGGCAGGATTGTCTTCGAGAGATGTCAAATCTGGACGAGATTCGACTGCGCTTGTGACCACGGAAGTGAGAGGAGCATTGCGGTTTTGGCTGAGGGGAACATGTTGACCGCTTCGGTAGGGAGAATCGTGGGAGGCGTGTCTGTCATTTGAAGTCATGGTATGCCAGAAGGAGCGAAATGCCGAAACAAATCTGGAGCGGATTAGCAGCGGCCAATTCAACTTCCTCCTCCTCCTCCTCCTCCTCCTCCTCCTCCTCATTATCATTATTATTATTGTCAGAGGGTAAGGGTAGTAGCTAGTTGATAAGTGATACTTACGTAGATGCCATGGCAGGCGGGAAAGTTGTTGTGGTGGAGCTGATTGGCTGCGTGTGGTATATATTTCTTCGAGACTCGACTCCAGGGAGATAGATTCCAAAGTGTTATCCAGAGAGAAGTTGTTTGGGTATCAACAATCCCACGGGGGAGATGAAAATAACCACAGTGTAACTTTATCCGAAGAATTAGTAGACGGCCGCGAAGAGGCAGCGGTAAACAACACACACAGGAGTATCCAGGGAGTGAGCAGACTTGGTAACATAGAGATTGAACTTCCAATCACACAGTCTGGGGAGGCGGAGGAAATGAAAGGGTCGAAGAGAGACAATGAGAGATGCGAGACAGCGAGGGACTAAGAGGAGAGGAGAGGAGAGGATATCCTGGTGGTTAGGCAGTGGATGGGGTGTGAAGAGAACAAGATAGATTAGGTTGGTTGGTGGGTTGGTGGGTGTTGAAGCTGACGACGTTGGAAGGGAAAAGTTGAACGACAAACGGCAGCACAGCCAATGAGCAGGGGGCGGCAGTATTGGGTACCGTGAAACACGCTTGCTAAAATGTGGCGGTTAGGTACCTGGCACTTGCTCGAGAGCCCCTCGAACCGTTGGACGGGTGTTTGTTTGCGGCAAAAGGACCGAGGAAATATCTAAAATCTATACACTCAGAGACAGTCATAGCGGGTATCTTCTGCTGCTGTTGACTTATGCAAAATTGGATTTTGTGAGCTGGGTGTTGATTTTTTCTTTTTCTTTTGTGTGTGTGTGTGTGTGTGTGTGTGAGAGAGAGAGAGAGATTGCCCTGCTCTTAGTGTACATTTCTCACCTATAAATTGGCTGCTATACACCCTATACCGACATCAATCAAAATCCATCCTCCTCCTGATCTTAATTACTCCACTCTGCTCTCTATTCCATTCCTCTCCCAAAAGACAAGAATAAAACGAATCTCTGTGTTGCAACCATGAAATGACGCAAGGTTACGTTCTGTCCCTGAAACCAAAAAATTTTAACCTTCAACATGAACCATAGAAATCCTTCGATCTCCCATCCGCAGAACTTGAAATCGGATCCTCTTCCAATCAAACATCTCCTCGAGCCTCTCCCGGTCGGGTCCTCATCCTGGCCCCAAGGGTTATTCCAAAATTCTTTCCCTAATCTTGAAAATGGGGAAAAATAAACATGACACCCGCGGCCTTTCCCCCACTCTGCTGAAGTTCGTCGTGACCAAAAGTATTTTGAACGGTTGTACAGATAACTTTAGTTATATTTTTATTGGCTTTTTGATATGTATGTATTACTTTTCTTTTTCCTTTTTTTGTCCCTCACCGGCTGGGCGCTATTAAGCATAATCTATACCCCTGGAATTGGACGCGCTGGGGCGCATATTCAACGCCTTCTGGATCTGTGGGCAGGCTGATGTCAGTTGGACGCCCTTTAAAAGCCGAAAAACCGAGGGAAATTATCCAACCAAACAAGGTCACTATGACCAGCAGGATGCTTATGCTGATATCGTTATTATTCATTATTATTATTATTATATATTATTGCTATTTGCTATTTTTATTTCATGGCGATGATCACCCGGTTTCGGGAAGCAGATGCTGAAGAAATTTGAAAATTACTCTGCAAAACATGAGGAAATGGGGCTTTAAAATTTTGCATGTGAAAGAACTCCGAGTGAAATAAATAAATAAATAAATAAATAAATAAATAAATAATAATAATAATAATAATAATAATAATAATAAAAGTCTGTAGCCAAAGTATCGCTCTCAACTCATCATCTCTCATTCTCTGCTTCTGGTATTCACTTTACAGGATAGCTGTTTCAAAATTTCTAGTCCAGGTATCTTTGAAAATTAAGTATTAGAATTAAAACACTTGTCAGGCTCTGATCTTCAGAGCTGAAATAGTCATAAAATAATCCACAGAAACATATGCGGCTGAAGAAACAAGATGTAAGAAAAGAATGTAAATTAGCTTCTGGCTACAGTGATTGCCGGCAAAAACAAAAGAAAAAGTTCATAACATATCATGCTTGATAATGTCAATCTCGTCAAGAGAGAAGAAGAATGACAGCATAATAATCAAGTAAGCGAGTGTAAGAGAAATCAATCAATATTATCAAAACAAAATCTGAGAACAGTGAGGATGGACCAAAAAGAAAAGAAAAAGAAGCGAGAGAGAGGGAGGGAAGATGTGAGCAAATAAGTGACAAACTAAACAAACCAAACATAGAAAAAATCTGAAATGAATCAAGACAAATGAGTGTCTGTTTACAGCAAAGTAAACAGGGGTATAGGGCATGCAAGGAGCACTCCTGTTGAGCTTGGCTGAAGGAAAAAGGCCAATGGAAAAAATGTCACGCACGCTCTCTGAGTAATCCTATCCCAACATCCGATGTCCTCACTAAATCCACCCCTCCGTGAAATCCCTCTACAAATCTCCCCGTCTCTCCTAGACGCCGTGTTAATAGAAATCGGAAAAAAGAAGATTGCACGACGATGACAAGCGGGAGACCTTGAAAAGTAATGCACCAAGCCAACCGGTCATATAATCATATCGATACACCTCGAAAGGGATAACTGAACCCAAAAGGAAACCCGAAAATCGGTCATGAGATGGTGCAAAAAAAAAAATAAAAATAAAAATAAAAATAAAAAAAAAATAAAAAATAAAAAATAAAAATAAAAATAAAAAGGCAAAAGGAAAAAGAAAAGCCTATAGCCAGATAAATCCGAGCCTTGCGGATCACAAAAGTAAGAAAACGATGCGAGTCAGAACCGGGATCGGTTAACAGAGAGAATAAATTGTGTTGAAAAGAAAAATGGAAAAAAAAACCATCATTCCTTAAGAAGACCCGGGTTTCACGTTATTCGACCATTAATAGCGTGTAAGAAAAGTAAAATATCGGAGCGCTGAATATGCAATATGTGCAAAAAGACCTCGTCCGGGAAATCATCGGAAAAAGAAATGATCCATGGATATGGTCGACTAGAGATACAGTAAAACCCCGCTATCCTCAACTATGATTAGAATCGAGCTTCAAAATGCGGCGTAAATCAGCTTCCATCTGCCTGGGGTCGACAGGGTTGGTTCTAGGAGAATTTGAACGTAAAGAAGACACGTCGGAATTGAAGTATGGGAGGGTTCTGTTTGGAGAAGGAGATGCAAGATTTACGACGGTCTGAGAGCGCTTTAGATTGTTCTGAGCTGATGAAGGGCCGCGTTCCGTTGAAAATGGGGTGCTGTTGATAGGGCTAGTAGAAGAAAGTTCTCGACGAAGGTTGGAAGATGGAGTTCGAGTTGCTTGAGAACCGTTGTAGACGGACGACAAGTACTGGTGTGCAATGCTACCACTTCCCAGACTGGAACCTTTAGGAGAGCCTTTATGATCACCGAACGGAATTGGAGTTGACGGACCAGATGCATGTCGAGAAAGAGGCACGGCGTTACCAGGAGTCCAACTTTTGGAACTGAAGATGTTTGAGTCTTTGTACACCTTAGGCGATGCAGAGGATGGACGTTGTGGTTGAGGATTCAATAGCAAATTCTTTAGCGCTTCGGTTTTGGCCTTTCTCTGGTCCTCGTCGAGTGGCAGGCTTTCATTCGACCTTGAAGGGGAGCTGGCTGATCGAAGAGCATTGATTCGATCCTTGAAAGGAGTGGCGAAAGACGGCCCGATTGCCATTCTGCGACTATCGCGAGATTCCAGCTCAATAGGAAAGATGCCCCCCGGACTCCTTTCTGATCGATGGAGGGTTACCCGCGCTGTAACGTTTGGCTGCGCTTGCGACGGTCTCCCAGGCGTGGGCTCTCCGCTGCCGGATCTATTCGTCACTTTTGCACCTTTTGCGGATTTAAAGAGGAATTCCAGCGGTGAGGGGTTCTCTACTGCATTTTCTGGAATAGATACGGCTGCTTTTGGTTTTGCTGGCGTGGCTTCCTGGGGGCTTGTATCCTCCGAATCATCTTCGAGTGAATCAGGGCTTTCCGTATCTGGAACGGATTTAGAGAAAAAAGTGGGTATTGGCAGAGCTGAGGGGGCGGGAGACGCATGGAAAGTCGGTCCAGCGTAATGCGAGCCATCGGGGAGAGAAGATAATATGTTTGGTTGCGATGCTGAATGGCGGTGGCTGTGGCCAGTCCCATTGACTGCCGGGGATGGTTTCGAATTTTGGTTATTTTGGTTATTTTGGTTATTTTGGCTATTCTTTTTCCCAAACCGGCTCTTCCTCTTCTGCGATGCACCTTCAGAGAGAGTATTACTGAAAGCTTCCTCGGTACTGGGGCTTGGGGGGCTCGATCGAGGTTTGGGGGGTATGAAACGGTTCGGAGAGTCGCTAAGGTGTGTATTGTTGGCGAGAGGTGTAATCTTAGAAGGTTTACGGTTACGGCGGGGATTGCGAGGCCCCTTCGAAGTGGTAGGAATTGGAGTCGACATTGAGACTTTCGGAATAAAAAAAAGAGGCTTAATAAATAGGCAGCCTGTTAATAGAAATAATAGAAGGAAATAAATAAACAAGCTAAGAAGCTATATGCGCAGGATCAAATGGAACACCAAGACTGAGAGTATGAGAAAGCAGTTCTATTCAGGGAGCATAAAACGGTCACACAAGAGTAGCAAGGGAGTCACGAATGTGCAGGACCAAAGCTGGCTTCTCGAGGACGTTTCCTTGGGGGCGGTGATGGGGTTATGGATCTTCGTGGTTGGATAGTTGGAGGGAATGACTGGGTGGAGAAGGAAACAGATGCCCGAAGCATATTCATAATTTGAGAAGAACACACATAAGTGGTGGAGCTGGAAGAGAATAAAATAGTAGCTAGAGCTTAGGAAGCGCAGAAGCTTAGGAAGCGCGGAAGATGGTGGAAGAGAAGATATTGGGATGGATGTTGCATGTTCGGATGTCGGATCGGATGTCAGAGGATGTTTGTGGCTGCTGCG